TCTATCTATCTATCTATCTATCTATCTATCTATCTATCTATCTATCTGATGAATGGAATGGAATGGATTCTTCATAGGACATTTTAATTCCTGGCCTTCCTATGAAGTTTATTCCCAAGACAGTTAACATTCCTTTGACTGAATAATGATTTTTTCCTTCTGGATATTAAAATAGCCCTGTAGACAAATAATTTTGTATGGCCAGCTCCTCACATGGTATGAATTGGCTCTGCTGCGCTTCAGTATATGGCGCAATACCCGTTTACACCAGCTGAGGAACTAGCACTTTGATTTCCAAGCAGAATGGCGCATTGTCGCCATTTCTTCATCAAAGAGGACAAAAGTATTCCCAAAAGGAAAGGTTGCAGTAGAAACAAATGAGATGAGAAACACCAAGACAATGGAATGCTCATAAATTGTAAGTTTTATTGTCTTCACCTCTACAAGTGGACAGCGAAGCGGGAAGGTAGTGGGTGAAATTATCCCAGCAGAAAATATTTCACATTGCATAGCCCAAGAATATAAAGGATCCCTCAGAAAAAGCCCTTAATGATAAAATGTCACACTTATACAGTGGGTTACCTCTTCAAAGTGCATTACAAGCATTAACTGGTTATAATAATCAAAGCAACAGAGAAAGTGCAATTTGTGAATGAAACAAGTCATGCCAAGCTGTAGAAATGTAAAGCAACGTCATGAGAGCAGAAGATTCATTGCTGTTACTTGTAGCTGTCACTTCAGCTGCGTGTTGGAATTTTGCAGACTTGATTTTGCAGCTGTTGACTTGGAAGACGCTTTGGCCTTGGTTTTCAGCACTTCTGCACTGGAGGGCAGCACTTTTTCACTGGAAGACAGCACTGTTGCACTGGAGGGCAGCACTGTTGCACATATTGTTTTGGCTTCACATAAATTGGTGTACTGTGGCATGCTCCAGAGGTATTGTGGCATGACGATCCAGAACCGTGGCATGAAGATCCAGAACCGTGGCATGACGACCCAGAACCGTGGCATGACGATCCAGAACCGTGGCATGACCGCTCAGAACAGACCGACCGCCCATGGCCGTGGCATCCTCCAGAATATCCATGGAAGTACGATGGCCTCCTGACACAGCAGTGGCCTCCACTGCCGTGGCACGACCCCGACGACCCATGGCAATTCTCACCACAGCCCGATCGTCGATACTCGTAGCATCGGTTATCATGGCCTCCCCTTGGACAGCCACCACTGCTGCAGCAGGTGCTATAAGCATAGGTGAAGGGGGTGCGCCGGGTGTCCAGCCAGGAACCTGCAGGGTCATACCAGGTGGAGTTCAAGTTGAAGTAGGATTCCCTTCCAGAAGAGTAAATCATTCTGCAGCCGAGGTGAAGCTGAAAGAGACCACATGGGATAAGTCCCTGAATTTCCATTGACTCTCCTCAGATAGAAATTCCTGTTTGTCTACCCCACACATGGGCCAGTGGTTCTTAACCTGAAAGCCTCGAATCTAAGGGCGATATCAACACCCCCCTCTGGGGACTGGCCAGCCTGTTCCAAGATGCCCTCTCTAGGTTTACACTGAAATGGATTTCCCCAGCCATATGCAACTGGGGATCAGAATCAGCCACAGGGCAATGTGCCAATTCACCCCCATGCAAACTTGTTGGCGCTCTCTTCTTCAGGCAGCCCCATGGTGCTCTCACCGCTCACCTCCTCATCCTTCAGCTCCTAACCATTTATCCTTAGAACCCATAACGCATTCTGTACACTGCCTCGGAGACATAAATGTCCTTCGCCTTTGCATATGGACCCAGCTACACAAGCAAAAATTGGCTCTAGCATTCCAACCCAGGCACAGGGAATTTCTGAGTTGGAGAGAAAAGCATGTTAAAGATATTTTTAATGAGCAGCAAAGAGGGTCGGTATAATCTGACTTACCCTATTGACCAACAAGGACCGGTGAGAAGATGTGAAGCTGAGTGTGTCAGGAGCATTGGGACGCAAGAGTTTTTATACGCTTCAGAGCCCTCTTTCAAATGAGATACCCCAGGGGAATGAGCACTTAATTATTTACAATCAAAACAACCCCAGGTGTGTTTGCGGTTCCCGATGTCTGACGTTGCTAGTTGAGGAATTATTTTTGATCAACAATAATTTTTGAATAGTGTAGATGATCAAAGCATTTGATTTGTGTAATCCTCAAATAAACTGGGTGAGGCAGATCAGAAGGTGTTTATTTCTCCTTTTGACAAATGGGTAGACTGAGCCACAGAAGTGATAAGTGCCCTGCTACCAGTGAGTCACGGGCAGAGATGTGCCGACATCCGGTGTCCCACATCCTCAGTACATTATCCCGGGCTGCTGACTCCTCCTATGTCACTTGATAATGTAATTAGTAGCTCCAGCGCACGTGGATGGCAATCGGGGACAGAACTCGCTGACCTGCCTAGGAGACCAGGGGTGAGTCACTGGCAGAGCCAAGACGCAGAGATTCCTAGCTCCCAGCCCCAGGCCCAGTCCCCTAGACCAGTGGTTTTCAACCTTTTTTCATTTGTGGTCCCCTAAAAAATTTCGAATGGGGGTGTGGATCCCTTTGGAAATCTTAGACATAGTCTGTGGCCTCCTTGGAGGTTGAAAACCACCGCCCCAGACCATGCTGCCTCTCATGTTATCGGGTTGTGGTTTTTTAACATAATGTGAAGCGGAGACGCACTGAACAGGAATTGCCGGAGATGGATCAAAAGCGAGGTGGGTTTTGGTTTCAGTTTTGCAAAACTTTATGAGTGAGGTTTTTCTTTTGCAGGGGTTGATTTCTGAGTCCCATTTCCTGCCTGGACTGTCCAGAAGTTTACAATTTGAATCAGAGGTGATGCCTGGGGTGTGTGTGTGTGTCACGCGGGGTCATGTGCCGCCCCCCAAGTTGCTGCTTGGCTTATACTGAACATATTCTCAGGAACTAAACCATGTTCAGTAACATCTGCTGAAGCTGCTGCTCTCAATCTGTCCCTCCCCCCCACTATTGGCAGGTACGGGTCGTCACTGATTTTAGTCCCTCCACAGTTATAAGGACATTCAGCTCGCCCCACCCCATCCCCTGAAAACTATTTCGGAATTAATTTGACCGATTTTCTCTTTTGCTGACCTGGGTGTTCAAGGCAGTGATTATAAATGGAGGGGCTTTCAAACATTGCAGTGATATGTTAACACAGGCCGTGGGTTATCCTGTATAGACCATATCAGGCCAGATTTTGGGCTTCTGAAAGTGTTTCATGGAATCTCATCCCTGACCCATTTGCTTGTTATTGCTGTTGGAGCTAGTCAAAATTTTTCCATCACAAGCTATTTTGGACAGAATTGGGGTTTTTAAATTGTTTTTATTCCAGTCAAATCAACGGAGTTACATTGATCTACACCAGCCGAGTGTCTGGCCCGATTATTCAAGAGGGACCTGATTCAAAGGTCTTTCAAGTGAATGGAAAGAGTCCCATTTATTTTAATGAACTTTGGATCAAGCCCTCGGTGCTCAAGTGTAAATGAGAATAGATAGAATGTAATTATCAGCACTGGGATTTGCCAGAACTGGAATTTTTCAAAGGTGGACCTGAGTTCGGTTTTTTTAAATCAAAACTATTTTTTCAATAAAAATGCCTTTTTGATGAAATTTTTGCAAAAATTTCCATTTCTGTTGAATGTTTTTGACTATTTATTGGAAGAAACAAAACTAAATTTAATTTCCTGGAAACCAAGAAAACATTTGGTTTGCGGGTTTTCGGTTTTTGTTGCAAATCCAAAAATGTTCCATGAAAATGAAAAAATGTTTGTTAAAAAGTTTCATGGGAAAAAATCATTTTCAAACCATCTCAAAAATTGAGATCCAGTCTATAGAGAACCGTCAGTGATTTTCAGGCTCTTTGTTTGAGAATCACAAATGTCACATGTTATAATTCGTATGTCACATCATGCTATGCATGCCCTGCATACTCAAACACATGCTTCACATACTAAATCCATTCTTAACGATAATGCGTATCACTTTAGAACACGTCGCCTTTCCAAACCACCAGTTCAAGCATTAGCTAATTAGTGTGTGTAATAAATCACACAGAGTAAATCCACCATGCAATGTATCAGGCGCTGAACAAATACATGACATATCGCAGTGAAACTCATGTTGACATAGCAAGCCACTTATGTACATACCGAGATTCCCAGGCAGGGGCGGCTCCAGGCACCAGCGCATCAAGCGCGTGCCTGGGGCGGGAAGCTGTGAGGGCGGCAGTCAGGCTGCCTTTGGCAGGTCTGCCGGTCCCGCGTGGTTTCGGCCGCAATTCGGCGGCGGGTACGCCGAAGGCGCAGGACCAGCGGACCTCCTGCAGGCATGCCGCCCAATCTGCGTGAGCCGCAGACCGCCCGCAGGTGCGCCGCTGAAAGCCGCCTGACTGCCGTGCTTGGGGCAGCAAAATACCTAGAGCCCCCCCTGTTCCCAGGTGGACATGTACAGCCTGTGCTGCCACATAGAATCATAGGGTTTCAAGGGACCGCGAGTGTCATCTAGTCTAATCCCCTACCAAGATGCAGGATTTGTTGTGGCTATCTGCTATAATAATGGCTATCCCGGCTATTGTTGCTGGAGCTGCCTAGATCAAAGCTAGCTTGGGTGGGTCTATGCATGCTGCCGTGTAATGACGTATACTGGCACTTTCAGACTAGAGTTGGCCCGAAGACTTTGTTCCGGGGACTTTGGAATAAACAGTGGCCTCGGAAATGGCCTTGTAGCAGGAAGGGTTCCCTGGCAACTAGTCATTTTCCAGCCTTCATGGTTGTAGAGAAAAGTTTGAAAATGTGACCCACGAAGGCTCAAACCAGGAGGCAACTAAAAGAACCCCCCAAACTTATTATTTTTTTAAATCTTATGGTATTTTGGGGGGTGGGATGGGAGCTTGACTCATGATTTTTGAATGCTCAGCATTGGCAATACCTCCTATTGTAAAGTGCAGTCCTGAGTATTGGTCCTCATTCTGATACTGGCTGTTAAACGCAATAGTCATGTGTTTAATGTTGACCCCTGAACCGGTATGTGTTCAATAGGATGCTTCTGGAGTTACCGAGGAAAAAGTGAAGAGGCTGATAACTATGGAAACGCCAACACGTTGTCCCTCTGATGAATTGCAAACTTCCTTGTCTCCCTGGAGATTGAAGAAGGAAACCAAGGGAGGGCTAGTAGAAAGTTTTCTATATTAGTTTAAATATTCTGTAACCCAGGAATATCTATCAGACACAAGGCATGATACTTAAAAATAACACTTCACATTTGTCTGGAGGACGACGCTCTTCAAAGCGTGTTGCAGATATTAAAGGCAACTGGAGGGGAAAAGAGAGAATATCCGTAGTTTGTGAAATGGACAAGACACAAAAAGTTTTATAAACTGAAGGCAGCCTTATAAGAACAAGCAGTCAACTGGCGCATTTATGCTTATAGGCTATTTCAACAGTTCCTTGTGGTTTCTCTATCTCTTCTGCAGATGGACTAGCGGCTAGCAGATCTGCTTTTGCTGGTGCTGGCTTGGATATTGAAGCGATGGGGTTGGTAAATGGGCAGCGTATGTTGCACTAGTGCATAGTCTTGCTGCTTTGGTGCACAGCAACGTTGCACGGGTGGGTGGTATTTTTTCACTGAGGCACAGTATTGCTGCGTTGGCAGACAGCCCTGCTGCGCTGGACAAGCCAGTTGTGCCTGTTCTGTTGGCGTCACGTAAGGGCAGCTTCATGGCTCTCTCGGGCAGGGTCCCTGGGCATTGTGATACAATGCTGCAGAATCATGGCATGACGATGCCTCTCAACGCAGACTGATCCTTCATGGCGTGACCCTGAAGCTCTGTCGTAGCAGGAGTCTTTCAGGGACCAGTAGCGACCTTAAAGCATTGCAATAATAATAATTAAAATAATAAGAACACAGAGCTCTTTTCATCAATAGCTCTCCAAGGGCTTGGTTGAGGAGGTCAGTTATCATTGCTCCTTTAGTCACTCATTGCAAGGTAGGTTTCCAGATCTTGCAACTTTTTTCTACACGACTTGTGGGCCCTAGCCACTGGGCAGCCCGGCTGGTAAGTGCCCGACTGTTCCCGCTGCATCCGTTAGAGCGGCACGCCCCCTCCACAGCCCCCATCCTGGCCTTGTGCCCCCCGCCCCCTAGCAGTGCCTCATGCACCCACCCTAGCCTTGTACACCCGGCCCTGAGCAGTCCCCAGAGCCCCCACCCTGGCCCCGTGTCCTCAACAGTCCCCATCCTTGAGGGCTGGTCCCTGGAGCCTTCTCCAGCTCCCCCCATCTCAACAGGCTGCTTTCCTTCCCCAGTCCACCTCCAGTTTCCTGCTTCTGCCACATCCAGCCTCCCCTGACCTCCCCAGGGCTGCTATCTGGAGTCTCCTTGGTCCCTCCCGCTACCCGGAGCCTCCTTTCTGCCCCTCTGCTATCCGAGTCCCCATAGCTGGATCATAGTCTGACAGCTTCAACTCCTGTCTCGGAGCCCAAAAGTACTCACACACTCGCACACTCACACCCTGCTTTCCTGCCCGGACCCCAGCCCATGCCCATTCCTCTTCCCCCCGCCCCCATCTCTGCTACTTGGATCAACTGGGGGCACAGAGGATCTGGGCCTAGCAAGGCGGGATTAGAAAAGCACCTGAAATCAGCAGGAGTCTGGTGCTTCAGTTGCTAAGGTGTTTTTGAAAATCCCACTTGACACCTATGTGCATCTTTAGGTGCCTAACCCCGTGCAAATATCTGGCCTTTAGGCTTCGCAATTCTGGTGAAAGCAATGAGTAAAGAGGTGGAAAAATCTGAGCCTTAGACATCCCATGCTTATTGAAATCCAGTGGGAGTTTGTGGCACTCTGTACCTCGAAGCAGCACCCTGGAACCCCCATATTCACCCTGTCATATAATTATGCTATATTTCATACAAAGCAGACCATGTAAGACAGCATATGAAAGGTCATGATCTGTTGAAACCCATTGTTCTGTCCAAATCTGTATATGGTTCGTGTGTATGAAGTTATGAGGTTTTGCTATATGCTTGCTTTTGAAATATGTTGGAAGTTTGAAAGTCTCTGCTGCTAGGTGATGATCCACTCCCAGGAAGGTGTTAAGCGACCAGTCATCAGCAGGGAAGTTGTAAACAAGGGATTTACAATACTGCAAGAGGGCTGCACAAGCATCACACAATGGGGTATTGCTCAATTCTGTGACTTGGCAAAGCCCACCAGGACATGTCTGTGCTGGAGTTTTCCAGGCACATGGACTGAGGATATAAAATAGGGAACAGTGGCATCATGCCTTGGCCTTTCTCCTCCCCCACCCACACTGGAACCAACAAGAACGCTCTTTTGAATTGAGGAGACTGGTCCCAGGCTTAAAGGGGAAGCCGGTGTATTAAGAACTGTAACCTGAGGGATAGCTCAGTGGTTTGAGCATTGGCCTGCTAAACCCAGGATTGTGAGTTCAATCCTTGAGGGGGCCACTTGGGGATCTGGGGCAAAATCAGTACTTGGTCCTGCTAGTGAAGGCAGGGGGCCGGACTCGATGACCTTTCAAGGTCCCTTCCAGTTCTAGGAGATGGGATATCTCCATTAATTATAAATTATTATAACCTACCCTCAACATCCAGTCTGGTGAGAAAAGCTGCTTGATCCAAATACTGCTAGTGTAATAAGGTTTGTGATTTAGACTACGCACTTACTTGTTATTTCTTTTGGTAACTATCTCTGACATTTTGTGCCTACCACTTATAATAACTTACAATCGATTTTTCTGTGGTTAATAAACCTGTTTTATCTTTTACCGAAAACAGTGTGTTTTGCTTGAAGTGCTTGGGAAATCTCAGCTCAGTTCACAAAGGCTGGTGTGTGTCCTCTCCACATTGAGGGAGGCAGGGACTGGGTAATGAACTTACACTGGTCAAGCGTCTGACCAGAGCAATTCAGCACAGTTCTGGGGTGCAAGGTGGGGCGATTTGCCGGTGCCTTTCTCTGTGTGATTTGTGAGTGGCTCTGGGAGTATTCATGCTGGGTGCGGGGCTCCACGTGCGGTTGTGCTGAGTGATAACAGCACGCGGAGGGGTTTGCTGCTTGTCACTAGCAATGATTGTGAGAGACGGCCCAGCCTGGAGAGTTAAGGGGGCTCAGCAGTACCCCAGTTCCGGGTTGCACCCTGGTGATCCTGTCTCAGAGTTGGTCACTTAATGTGCTAAAATTGCCTTGAACACCCCAGCTGTTTTTTAAAAGGAGAGGGCTTGCGGTCTAAAGAGGAAAGGGACTGGTGATAGACAAGAGACGGAGAAGTTTCTGGATAACAAACACCAAGACTCTGGCACTCTCACGGATATTAAAATTTAATGTCTGGCATTTCTGACCAGAGACGGAGGCAGGATTAAATTATCTGAGCATGCAGGAACCAATCACATTTGTTGAGGGTGTTAGTAACACCCTGGGTGGCTACAGTACACAGCAGAGGAGAGAGGATGTGCAATTTATGAAAGACGTAAGGTGGCAAAGCGTTTCCAGCTCAATGAGAGTGAGAAGCAAACGGCTTCTGAGATGGACTTCTTTTTTCTCCTTCTTGTCCGCCTTTACTTCTGGTGCTTCTGCGGTGGCCACTGGCAGGGCTGCTTGGTCTGCTGCTGACAAGGGAGGGTGGTGGTTTGGCAAGGCACAGGGGTGGGGCACTGGGGCAGAGGTTTCACATCATGGCACGACCCGCCCCCGCTGCTGTGGCAGGTGGAGCTTCCGCTGTCGTGGCAGGAGGAACTGCCGCTGTCATGACAGCCTCGGGGCTCACGGGAACACATCTTTATGGAATGCTGGGAAACCTGGGGGGGGAAAAAAGAAGATCTTCCTTCAGTTACTGTGAAAACAAGAGCGACTTTCTTAGGATTTTCCTTTCCCTCCTGCACTGCGGAGCCCTCACGATTCTTTTATGTGTTAAATGCATAAGCCAACAGTTCCCAGCGAATGACCTCTTCTCACTAGGGGGTCAGGAGCATTTGTGTGTGAGGTCGTCCAGGAGTCAGGCCCCCAGCTGGTGTAAATGGGTGTAACTCTATGTCGAGCTACCCAGCCGTAGGGCTGTCTCCGGTTCTCCACCGATGTGCATTTATGTCCTCACTCAATGCAACCACTGCTCTCCAGATTCCAAAAGAAACCCGGCCCCATTTCAGTGATTCCCAGGCTGCCTCCTAGGAGGACCTGAGCCAAAGTTTTTAGGACTTCTCTCAGGACACCAGGTGGCAAGGGGCGGAAGACACAAGAGTGAAATCCTCTGGCCTTGGGGATTTACATTCCACACGTAACAGAGTTTGGAGAAAAGGTCTCAGGAAATGTTGTAGGGTTTGTGATTTTTTTCAGGTGGAATCAAGCCATTTCTAGTTATTGTTCAACATAAATATTCTCTTAAATGTGGAGGTATGAAATGAACAGAGACACTGCTTTATAAGAAGTCAGTTAAGAAACGAGACTAATAATAACCACACCTATCATTAGCATAATCATAACCACCCTTATCATTACTGCCATTTTACAGACGGGGAAACCGAGGCACGAGAGAGTAACTGACTTGCCTAAGTTCACCCAGCAGGCCAGTGCTGAAGGTGGGAATAGAACCCAGATCTCCTGAGTTCCAGCTCTGTGAACTATCCCAAAGGCAACACTGCCTCCCTGGGAGTAAGGAGGTATGTGCACACACAAAAAATCTGGAGAAAAATGCTACTGAGGGAAAAATGTTTGTTGTGGGACAGGGAGAAGAGCTGAAAACAAGGTGGGGAAAGAGTTTCACATGATCAGTAGCACAATTTGGCCTGTCATATGCAGGAGGTCAGAGAAGGGATAAAATTTCCAAAATACCTGAGCAGTCTAAGTCTCATTGATTTACAGTGAGACTTTGGCTCCCAGGTTCCTAAATCACTGTTGGGACATAGGTTCCTAAATCATTTAGGTGCTATTGAACATTTTACCCGAGATGACCACCACGCTCTCTCTGGTCTGGGCCAAATCCTCTGCTGATGTAAACTGGAGTAACTCCTTTGAACTCAATAGGAATTATGCTGATTTTACACCAGATGAGGAGCTAGTCATTGTGAATCTATGGACAGTATCTTTCTACTCTTGAAAGCTGGGATTTTCTAAGCATTGAATAGGGTAGTCAGGTTCCTAAATCCCATTAAAATTCCAGATTGAAATGGGAATAGGATACCGATCACCCCTCGGCTACTTTCAAAGTCAGACAAAATGCATAAACTAAAGATTGCCCTTGGATCAAAAAGAACTTTGAGTCAAGGAGATGCTCTCATCGGGTAGCTTTGTCCCAAAACGCTTGAAGAGCTGGGGAAAATGTATTAATAAGCTTCAGTCTATTCTCTCATCCGTTTCCATAGTTCTGTCTCCTTTCTACTTCCCATACTTCACTTCACTTCACAACTTTCTATTTTGTCTTCAGAAAACTAGAGATCCTAGGCACTGCGGTCGTTCAGATAAATAACAACAATCAATCAAAACTGCTACTTGGCATCATATTCTACTGCCAGATTTGGCATCAAGCCCCGACAGCCCGCCCACCAACTCAGAACTGGAGTCTGATTAATTTCAGTGTCCAGAGTTAGACTCTTAATACATTTTGGCAGCTCGTAGTCCAAAAACTATTACGTTAATTTTAATGAACAATAAAGAGTTTCATTAGAATAAGGACTTACCTTGAATGCCAGCAAGAACACCAGAGATAGGCGTGAAGCTGAGTGAATGAGGCTGCTAGGGGTATGGGAACTTTTATACTTTTCCTAAGCCCTGCTCTTGGCTGGGGGGCAATGACCAAGATATTTACAGCCTCTAATTATCCCCCGTCTTCAAAAGCTTATTTGACTCATCACCTTTGATTTATATAATTTCTTTTCCTTGTGTTTCACAAAGTTTTAATTGCTCGCCCCACCCGATGTGCCTTGCAAGTGGAGATGAGGCAAACGGTGAGGGTGGTTTTGGTTGTTTAATATCTTACCGTCATGCAGGGGTAATTTTTGTATTGCAGCACCTAAAGTAGAGATGGTCCTTACCTGAAATATCTGAAACCCTCCTGTCCAAGGTGTGAACAAGGAGGTAGGATACAATATTCAGTGGCAGTTTCCTGCGGCTTGAATTGACAGGACATATCTTTTAGATAATGGCCAAGATTTTCTACAGTGAATGGATCCCTCCATTTTTACTTGAGGTGTTGTCATTTCTTAGGCTATCTAGCCAAGCCACACCTAGGACTTGGCACAGGTGCTTCATTTCAAAGGCTCCAGATGCTTTGCCAATACCCCTGTTTCACAACTGTGAAGTGACGTGGGTGCAATGGGTGTTGAATATAATCTGGTATTAGCAGAAAGTGCGGTGCCTGACTGCAGTGATCAGCAGGCCCCAACCACAACAGTTTGGCCATGTGGCTGGAACGACCCCACGCTGAGTGCCTGAAATTGTTCTCAGTGGAAGAGTTCACGATGAGAGGGGCAGTGGATGCCCAAGGAGGCAACTGTGTAATACGGTCTATAAACCAATCCAGGCAATCTCCCTCAGAGGCCCAAATGGCTGCTGAAAACAGATGGGGATGGAATCTGTTCATAACCACGTCCCTGTGCGGCTGTGGCCTTGGAATAACGAGGTGTGTCCCGTGTGGCAGCCAACTCTGACAGCTTTGCCCAGGACGTGCAAGAAACAGGAAAGAATTTTGTGCAGGTTGGGAAAATACTTGGAAACCTCTCTTCAAATGGCTGATTAAGAAATAGATCTGGTTCCCCATTTTCTCGTCTTTACTTTTCCTCCTGTTTTCTAATAAGGGGAGTAAAAGCAAAAAAAGAAGAGGCCAGGGGGGAAAATAGCCCCCCAAATGATAACATTATGTAAAAAAAAAAATCATTGGGTTTGTTTTTAATATGTTTTCCTGTCCAAAAAAAAAAAAAGAAAATTTGTGAAGAAAATGGAAAATGTTCATTTTTTCTGATGTTTCCCTCCTGAAAGATACAGATCTGTTTCCAAGCAGCTCTGTTTGCAAACCAGCCGTTGCCAGCGTAGGTTAATAGATTCTGAGGCTAGGAGGGATCATTGTGATGACCTACTCTGACCTGTCAGGCACCGGCCAGAGAAGTTCCCCCAAAATAATTTCTAGAGCAGATCTTTTAGCAAAACACCCAGTCTTGATTTAAAAATTGTCAGCAATGGAGACTCCTTGGTAAATTGCTCCAATGGTTAATTACGCTGATTAATGACACATGCTCTTTTCTTTGTGTCTGATTGTGCAAACTCTGTTCACGTTGGTGAGCCCTTACTCACTGGTGAAGTCACTCAGACCACCTGCATGAGTAAGGATTCCCCAGGCGAATAAGTCTTGCACAACTGTGAAGTTAGAAGGTAGTTATGGAGCTAGTCACACCTCCAGTGCAGGCGGCACCATTTACACCACATGGTTTCATTCCCTTAATCTAACAGGCAGGACGTGTCCCACCAAAGCCTGAAAGGAGCTCCTAAAACGAACAGTCCCACCTCTGAGAAAACTCCCTTAAAAGCATATGCCTACAGGGGGGGTTCCACCTCCAGGGAGGTGTGCATGGATCTGTCAATAGGCCGTAGTTAATGCTAGCACTTTAGCTGGACTGTCTAATAACCATAACTACACATTTCTTGTTGCCTTGATCGCTTTAATGAGGAACTAGACCAGATCTCCCCTCTTGGCTTCTGCAAAACATGTCTCCCCTGGTTAAAGGGCGGAGCACTGAAAGCCAGTTGGAGATCTTTGATGATTCTTTCTCTTGTTTTCTAACACTTTCAGGGGTACATTTTGCCATGTATTTCTGGGTGGCCTGACCCCAGGGGCATCCCAAGAATCTACATTTCTCTCCCAGCTCCCCTTGTGCTCCTGGATGCGGGCTGTGATTTACCACTAGCCTTTGCCAGCAGGAAATGAATATCCTTCACCCGCTGGCTCAGCGGCACTGGCCCGGGAATAAGGGAGGGGTGTGTGTCGCCAAGGTTCCACTCATTGCCCGTCTACTTGCCCAGGCAGGTGCAGCCCTGTTTAACTCTGCACACTCAAACCTACAACCCAGGGAGCTTGCCTTGCTTTGGTCAAGGAGTAAGGGGAATGTGAATTCTGCACCTACGGGCTTTAGCAGGCATGTAGTGCTCTGACTTTCTGCCTGCAGGCTTGTTGCTCGAAAGCACGGTCCAGGTAACCCATATAGGGAGGTAAGAGAGGTTCTTGCTCTCTTTACAAGGGTGTAGTCCATGCATTAATCAAGCGCTCCGGGAGAATTAGCCCTCGGTATCTAACGGGCACGGCTGTCCTGGGTCAGCAGTTATTGCATGGAATTTATAAAACGTGCTGGTCAAGTCTCTCTGGGAGCATGTGCTGTTTAATATGAAAAGGACTCTTTAATTAAAGGAGAAAACGGAGGATTAACAAGCGGAGTCAATGTCAATTCAAGCACTCCAAAGGGCTTGTCTAGGCTAGAGAGTTTTGCTGTGTTAAGGTCACCAGTAAAGTGGCTGCCCTCCCGAGTGTGGGTGGAGTGATGCTGGTAGAAAAGTGCTTGTAGCTGCACAGATTATTCCGGATCAGGAAGGGGAACAAGAGATATCAACAGAGGGCACCTATCTGGGTCCTCATTGGGGCCATGGCAGTACAAAATCACACCCAGGACTGACACGGTTATACCAGTAGAACTTTTCTAGCGCAGACCAGGACTCAGTTTCCCCACACCACGACCTGTCCTGAAAGGCCCCTCAGCCCATGTGCCAGCCTCTGCAGCATGCCCTGAAGGCCAGCGAACTCTCTCATTCTCAGAGCAGAGAGAGAGGAGGAGATGCAGTAGATGCTGTGAGGCCATGTTAGGAAGCACGACAACACCCATTTATGTCAGCTGAGGATCGGACCTTCCGCCTTCTCCAATCTGGGATTTCTAAGTGGACACAACCGCTGTGTTAATCAGAGGTCAGTTTCTAGTCTGACACCAGGTGAACGGCTGGCAGGGGATCAAAGACTAACTAAAGCAAACACCCCGACACTGTGGTTTTCATGCACTATATGTTTTATTTTTTTCTCACGTGCACAATTGGAGATCAAAGCAGGGAACCGAGGAACGGAATTTTTATCCCAGCCTTGAAGCACAATTCACATTTTTCGGGGGCATCGGCAATAGATCAGTGATCCGGGGTTCAGCTGGCGAAGAGAAGAGAGAAGCTGCAGCTTAGGACAGAAACACGCCATGCAAAGCATTGGAAACGAAGGTAGCTTCAGGAGAACAAGAAGTCAACGGGCACGTTTATTTTCTGGGATTATTTCCCTTGTTGCTTCCACGGCTGTTACTTCCGTGGGTTTGGGGGCCACTGGCAGGGCTGCTTGGTCTGCTGCTGCTCCATGCATGGGATCACAATGGGGCATTTCTGCTGCATCGACTGCAGGGAACCGCCACTGCCAAAGTCGTCTGAACCACCACTGCAGTAGCCGGCTGAGCCTCCAGAGCTGTAGCCGGATCCCCCTCCAGTGCAGCCGCCTGACGATCCCCCGCTGCCACCGCCTGATCCCCCTCCAACACCACAACCGTACGATCCCCCACTCCCACCGCCTGCGATGATAATCTTTTGCCCTGATCCCCCACTCCCACCGCCTGATCCCCCTCCAACACCACAACCGTA